GAGAGAGAGAGAGAGAGAGAGAGAGAGAGAGAGAGAGAGAGAGAGAGAGAGAGAGAGAGAGAGAGAGAGAAAGATGGGAGGGGAAGCGGCAAGGCTGAGGCTAGCAGCAGCTATATCTTAGCAGCAGTCGTTTCCACGTGCTTCCAGGAAGATTGTGTATCTACGAAAAGGGGAAAAAAGAAACAATACTTCTCTCTCTCGGAGCATACTCCGACTATAAATTTTTCCTGCATGTATTTCTGACCGCAATTACCGTCCTTCCTGGATGCATCTGACCTCAATGACATCCAGAGATCTGATGCATCTGACCGCAATTTTGGAGCACATACTCACATACTCCTGGATGCATGCAAAGATCAGTGAGTATGTCCTCTGGACACAGATTACATGCCACGGCTGCTAGGAATCAGACCTCCGTCGTATTTTCTTGAATTCTTCAGAATTAGCGCAGTCAGAAATACGAGATAAACCTGATAAATTCAATCCGCAAAAAATATTCTCTATAAATTGAGGACGTGAATGACAGATTTGCCCTCAGCTTTTCTTTAGAATTAAGCGGGATGGAAATGCGACATAACTCGAAAGAAGTTCAATCCTCAAGGCTTGAACATACACAACCCAGAAGTACAGAACATATGACTATATATCGTCAAACAGCTACATATGTATACATATATATATATATAGGTTTCAGCCTCCTGATGAGTCGGTGAAACTCGAACGAAACAGTTTGTCACAGCCCCTCGTTTGTTGTCCTCTTCTCCCTCTCTGTCTACAGTTTACCGGACAGCTCTGTTTGACTATATATATATGTTGGTGAAACTCTGACAAAACAGTTTGTCACAGCCCCTCGTTTGTTGTCCTCTTCTCCCTCTCTGCCTACCGTTTACCGGGCAGCTCTGTTTGACGATATATATACATACATCATATATTTTCCCTCCACTCATCTCTTCTTCAGAACTAGAACCCCCATGAAACCAAAGCCGATCTCATAAAATGCCGCACTCGCAAACCCCGACTCCCTCCCAAGCTTAACCAATTTGTCCCCAGTTGGGAATCTCTCTATGCTGGGCCTAAGATATTTGTACTCTTCTTCCAACCCAAACTGACTAGCCACAGGGACGACGACCCTGTCCAGCATGAATCCTTGCACCGAGTTGGTCAAAACATTGGTCGAGTTGTTGAAATCCAAGATGGCAGCGCTGCACCCTTTCTTCAGCACGCGATGAATCTCTCTCAGACTCCTCGACAAATCGGTAACATTCCTCAACCCGTAACCCATCGTCACTGCGTCAAACTCTTCGTCTCCGAACGGCAGCATCAAGGCGTCGCCCTGCACCCACCTTAGCCTCGAATGAAGCGCGGACTCTTCCGCCCTCTGGCTCGCGACTGCAAGTTGCTCTGCAGCGAAATCCAAGCCAACGACCAGACCGTGTGGTCCTACTGCATCAGCAAGAAGGAATGCGAGATCGCCACTTCCGCAACAAATGTCAAGTGCGCTGTGGCCTCTTGAAGCCCTGCTCCATTTCACTGTCATCTTCTTCCAGCTGTGGTGTTGACCGAGGCTTAGCCAATCATTAAGCTGATCATAGACTGGCGCTATTCGGTTGAATATCTTCTGTCTCTCTGCCGATTCCACATCGTTGTCATTCTCTGGGTCTGGAGAGGCACCTGTGGAGACATTCCCTTGCTGCGGTCCGAAGGACCCCGGGCTCGTTGCAGAGCAACGACACCTCAATCCCACTCGCTGACGTCTGCTGCCGGTTGATGAAACATCGGCAACCAATGCCTTAACTAATGCCTTGCCAAGCAATGAGCGGCTGTGATCTGTTTTCAAAGCGAGTCCTTTTCGGAACATATCGATAAGACCCGTCTGACCCTGGCCAGGACAAGACGGGAACGAGTCTTCGTAGCTCACAGGCACACTCGCAGAACGAAGTCGATGCAGAACTGGCAGAGACGAAGTAGATGAGAAGGCCATGTCTTCTGCGCCGAGCGAACGATCATACAAAACGTGTAAAGGTCTATGCTTGACTGTCGAGACTGAACCACCAACCACCACCTAACATCTGCAAGCGCACCCACCAAGATCCCACTCAGAAAGGAAACACAGCGCACAGAACCGCCTCTCCTCTCCATGTTCTCCCCCTTATTTCTCACCACCACCCAACAAAACCTATTCTTTCCCACCTCAGCTTTCATCTACTTTAAATCAAACAAATTGGGCCTGCCGACCTCCATGGTTAGTTTGCGATGTCCATGGCAAGTGCAAGAGCCCATTGCAATGCAAACTGTCAGGCTCTTGCTGCCAATCCCTGAGGTCTTGCAACTCCATGCCTGAGGTTGGCACCTTTTACGGGATTTGAACCCCCCATGCCTGAGGTTTGGCGAATCCGTGCGTGAGGTTTAGCAATTCCAGGGCCGGTTGGAGTGACATGTTTGGGTGACAAAAAATAGGTTTCGTCTCTTCGGGGACACAAAAGGAAAGCTGGCACAAAGTTTGGGTCTTTGAGTTTTGACCAGAGTGAGATGGACATGTGCTACAAGCAGTTCCCTACCTCTCAGCTGCTTGAGACCGGTGGATAGAGAAAGCTGGCAAGAGCTTGCAATCATGTGACAATATCTATATATCGTATATAAACAGAGCTACCAGGTAAACCGTAGGCAGAGACAGAGAAGAGGACAACATTATATTTATATATATATCGTCAAATAGAACTGCCCGGTAAACCGTAGGCAGAGAGGGAGAAGAGGACAACAAACGAGGGGGTATATATATATATATATATATATCGTCAAATAGAATATATATATCGTCAAATAGAACTGCCCGGTAAACCGTAGGCAGAGAGGGAGAAGAGGACAACAAACGAGGGGCTGTGACAAACTGTTTCGTCGGAGTTTCACCGACTCATCATATATCGTCACAAATAGAACTGCCATATATATATATATATCGTCAAACAGTAGGCCAGCAATTGGCCACGGAAAAAAAAGAAAAAAAGAGTAGAAACGTTTTTAGGCGGATGAATTTGGGAGCTCCTGTAGTGGGCCATACATTTCCTAAAATTGTGGCTTGTTAACGGGCACGACTTTAGGAAGTACTGGTGGATTAAATGGTCACTCTCAGGTTCATCGAAGCTGCTGCCAGACTGCTCTGTGGTCAGTCTAAGACTCACCCGAGCCGCTACCAAACTGCTCTGCTGGCCCCTCGAATGCCAGCACAATCCGGGGAGGCTGCAGGGACAGCCCGTGGCGGCTCGAGGGTGTGACGATTTTGTCCAAAGTCCACTTCTTTGGGCCTTGCCACACGACACGCGCGACGAAAACGAAACGAGTGCGCCACGAAAACGAAACGAGTAAGCGACGAAAACAAAACGAGTAAGCGACGAAAACGAAACGAGTAAGCGACGGAAATGAAACGAGTGCGGGCAATGGAAACGAAACGAGTGCGGGCGACGAAAACGAAACGAAAAGTGCCAAAATGCACTCGTAACTATTTATAGCAAATCGATGAACCTGTCCATTTTCTGTGGGAAGATCCACTCGTTTTGTTTTTCGTGTGGTATGCCGTGGGGCAACACCCTTTATCCGCTTCGTACTGTCATACAGCAGGTGGCATATCTAAGCCTTGGGGTGTTCCCACGAACCTTCTTCTATAGGCTACAACAACACATGCGCCAAGAGCCCTGAGGTCTGGACTTCTCAGGACTTCCATCCTCCCTGTATAACTCATCCAGCAGCTGAACTCTTCAAGGCTAAATGTCAAATGGTTCAACCCATAATAGTTTGTTTAGTAGGTTAGAACAGCGGAATCATAATCCATCCCATGTTGGGGGTTCGTATCCCTCGAGCATGACACGTTTTCCAAGGTCCCTTCTTTATCAACCTCATTATCATACAGCATCAGGCAAAAAACTAAGTCTTGGTGTAAGGTCCCTTCTTTATCAACCTCATTATCATACAGCAGCAGGCAAAAAACTAAGTCTTGGTGTTTTCCCACCAACCTTCTTCTACGCTATCACACATGTACCAAGAACCCTCTGGTCATACTTCCATACTCCCTACTACAACACGTACAGCAGGCAGCAGCAGGCAAAAAACTAAGTCTTGGTGTTTTCCCACCAACCTTCTTCTATGCTATCACACATGTACCAAGAACCCTCTGGTCAGACTTCCATACTCCTGTCTCTTATACACATCTAGATGTGTATAAGAGACAGGGTGTAAGGTCCCTTCTTTATCAACCTCATTATCATACAGCAGCAGGCAAAAAACTAAGTCTTGGTGTTTTCCCACCAACCTTCTTCTACGCTATCACACATGTACCAAGAACCCTCTGGTCATACTTCCATACTCCCTACTACAACACGTACAGCAGGCACAACTACCGTAGGTCTTTTTTTGGGGGGCGGGGGAAAGCATAGGGTGCGGGTATGATGGGGGTGGGGGTGTGATGGGGGTGGGGGTGTGATGAGGGTGCTGGTAGGAGCAGACACCCCCTTGATGTGTTCCCACCAAGCTTCTTCTATGCTACCACACGTGCACCAAGAGCCCTCTGGTCAGACTTCCATGCTCCCTACACAAATAGAAGCAGGACATGGAGATAAGATAGGATAAGATTGAGCCAGCCTAAGTGGCTGCCTCAGCAAAGGCAACACTTCTCCCAAACACATCATCCCAGTTTCACAATGCAAAGCAATGCCAACTCAGCTTCACTGACCCCCCCAATCTCAACTCGTGCAGGTAATCCTTAATTACGCAGGGCCCATGCTATTCTTCTCCGTGAAGGAATGCTATCGCAGGTTCTTCTATGTGAGGCTATCCTATTGCTGTTCTGCTCTGTGCGGCCATGCAATTCTATGCTTCAATGTGAGACCATGCTATTGGCATATTGCTATTCTTCTGTGTGAGGCCATGCTATTGCTATTCTGCTCCGTGAGGCCATTATGCTATTGCTACTCTTCCCCGTGAGGTCATGATGATATTGCCATTCTTCTCTGTGAGGGCATACCATTGCTATTCTTTTCTGCCAGCCCATGCTATTACTATTGTTCTCTGTGAGGCCGTGCTACTGCTATTCTTCTCTCTGTGAGGCCATGTTATTGCTACTCTTCCCTGTGAGGCCATGCTATTGCTATTCTTCTCTCTCAGGCCATGATGTTGCTATTCTTCTCGTCATCGGCCCATCCATGTTAATCCAATTAATTAACAGATGTCCCGCCGAAGGACAGCGAGCCAGCAATCACCACTCCATCTACAAAACAAGAGAGAGAGAGAGCTGGGCTACCAGCCGGGCAGCCCGGGTCAGCTTGTTTGACCGGGCAGCCCGGTCGTGCAAGGATCACAGAAGGGCACAGCAAAAAAAAAAAGAAAAAAAAAAAAAGAAAAGCTATGTGATGCAGAAAAATAAACTGAACAACTTTTGCCTCAGGGTCACATCGAAATTCTTTACAAAATTTAAAATAAAAATAAAAAGTAAAAAAATATTTTATTATTATTAAATTTCTTATTATTTTTTGCCTGGCCGGGTAAGTTCTCCCCGGGCCACTCTGGCAGCCTAGAGAGAGAGAGAGAGAGAGAGAGAGAGAGAGAGAGAGAGAGAGAGAGAGAGAGAGAGAGAGAGAGCTTTCGTATTGCATAGAGGCAGTGGGTCTGTGCTAACGAACAGATGTTCCCAAGCGGCTTCCAACGTGTAGCGATGCGCTTTAAGTGTTCATCATCTTTCAATCAAGGACAAGGATGTACAAGTAATCACTGTTGATTGGATGTAGTCAGTGCGGACCCGACTGTGATTTTGATTTGCAGGTGAGGGGTGACCAACCGGAATACAATTGAGTTGAGTGAAGAGTCTCAGAAGACTAAAAAGTCACACAACAAAAAAAAAGAAAAGAAAAAAGAAAAAGAAAGATAAAGAAAGATAAAGAAAGAAAAAGAGAGAGAAAGAGAGAGAAAAAAGCTCTTCCCCTTCGTCTAAAGCAATTCGAGGAACACAATCACTCATTCTCAGGAATTGGCTGCAGAGATTAGAGGTGGAATTGATTGGGCACTTCTTTTACTTAAAGTGTGATTGAAAAAAAAAGGAAGATGGGACTCCAAGAAGATAACAGCCCCTGTGGTACTGGACTTGGCTGTTTCCCCAAAAAAAAAAAAAAAAAAAAAAAAAAAAAAAAAAGATGAGGAGAGAGGTCAGTGGCAACGGGAAGGAGCAAAAAACAGGAAAAATATTTCAGGATCGTGGTACAACAATCTGTCAGATCTGTCCGTCGTCCCGATCTGGTCCAATCTATCCGGATTATGTAACCCGGGGCAAGGTCCCACTTGCACAGATCTGGCCGTTGATCTTTGCTATCTACGGTCAATATCGCTTAATTCGTGTGAGTGGGACCTACCGTCTTCACCCGAATAGAACGCCCGGTCATTATAGCCGTACCTGGACCGAAAATTGCACCAGATACGGCTATAATGACCGGGCGCTCTATTCGGGTGAAGACGGTAGCCCCGGTCAGCCAGGATCTGATATCCGAATCAGTTTGATATCCAAAATCAATCTAAGGATAGCTTGGGCTACCCTGGCAGACCGAATAAGAATTAAAAAAAAAAAAGAGGCGGAAAGATCGGAAATTTTTATTTTTATTTTTATTTTTGTGTTCCCTGCGACAGAGGGATTGCACAGGTCATGCAACTGTGCAATACCTTGGATGTACTTGAGGGGGGAAAAAAAGACAAAAAAAGCTGCGCAATCACCCTGCCAGAGGGAAAGGGGGGGAGAGGGAGGAGGGGGGGGGAAGGATCTGGAGGGGAACCCTTTTTTTCCCACTTTTTTTCCCACTTTTTTTCCCCTTTCACGACTAGCCTAGTTATAACCACAATAAAATCAAAAGACGCACGATGTCGTCATTGTGGTGTTCCGCTAAGAAACGTGATATCCAGAAATGGACGATATTGTTTGCTCTGCCAATCAATCACCATCACACTCATTCACTCGTTGGAGCGCGCTCACGTGTGCGAGGGAGCGAGAGAACGCTTCAAGGAAGTTATTCATTTTTATCCCCCCTACCCCCCCCCCCCCCCCCCCCCCCCCCCCCCCCCCCCTTTCCTCCCCCCCCCCCCCCCCCCCCTCACGTCCTCCTTGCCTCTCTCCCTGCTCCTCCTCCTCTTCCTCCTGCTCCTACCCCTCCTCCTCCTCCTCCTCCTCCTCCTCCTCTTCCTCCTCCTCCTCCTCCTCCTGCTGCTGCTGCTGCTGCTGCTGCTGCTCCCTCACTCCTCGTCTTCCGCTCTTCCTCTGTTGATGACGGGAATGATGCGCTGCAGTACATGTAGAACATGGAGGAAGGCCAACGAAAATAACAAAGAGGAGGAGAGGGGGGAGGAGCAATTACAATGAAGAGGAGGATTGCAAGAAGGACGTACGGGGAAGCAGATTAACTTTTCCCGATTTCTGTTTAAGTTCCTAACACGGAGGCGATGGTGGAGATCGACATTCAGGAGGAGGAGAGGAGCAGGAGGAGGAGATAGATGACGACGGGGGTGAAAGGATAAACATGCTGATCGACGCTCACGAGGAGGAGGAAGAGGAGAAGGAGCCACAGAGGAGCGGGATTACCATGAAAAGGTGAAATCGTGATGGCCATAACGTCGACGATGACGATTATGAGGAGAGGGAGACATATCTATAAGATGATGATGATAATGATGATGATGATGATGGCGATGGCGATGGCTTGGAGAAGCGGTAGGATGACACGGCGAAAGGTTGCTTTATTGCGTTCTTGAAGCTTTTTATGGCACTCAAGGAGCCTTTGCGGAGGCTGTTTGAGAGCATAGGGGTATGCTGGCCGAGGAAAACGGGTAATAGATGAATGAATGTACCCTATTTCGGAGTCCAGATACTTGAGAAAGTTGGGATGTGTAGGTGGGTGTCTCTCTACATGCGGGTGCCATGCTGGGTTCAGAGATGTTTGAGCCTGTATCGTCGAAGACATGTAGAGTATTCCCTGTCCAACAATTTACAGCCCAGCTTGGCACCCGCATGGAGAGGAGAGAGACCCGCCTACACTCACAGTTGAAGGACGTAGTACACCTCCGGTTGGTTTCCTCATCGTGAAACCCTAAGAATAGGTGAGCTGCCGCAGAATATGTCCATCTTTTTTTTTTTTTTTTTTTTTTTTTTAAAGGCGAATTCTTTTAAGCCCAACCAATTCAATTACCTGTCGAATCTGGACAGGACGGCCTAATATGTCCATCTTTACCCTTTGCTAACGGGGTAAGCGGTAACACGGCCGTGGAATAGTGTTTTTTTTTTTTTTTTTTTAATGGCGGTGGAATAGTCTGGTAGGGACTGATTGAATCCTTCGTTGTTAATTTGTAAATTGTTGTTCCAGATTTATTTTTTATTTAGTAGCGACCTTTTAGTTCGAAAGTGCACGTGCAGTTTGTTACACGGACGGTCGGAAATAGTCTGCAATTGTGCTTTTATGGGAAGAAAAAAAAAAAAAAAAAGGGAAAAAAAAAAAGAAATAGTCTGCTGTATTTCCGTAATAAATAAATAGTACCTATCGGTGCGGAAATTACTCCCAAAAAATATATATATAGTAATACCATGGTACAGGTAGTACCAAGCTAGGCTACCAGAGTGGCCCGGGACCACTTGCCCGGCCGGGTCCAAAAAAAAAAAAAAAAAAAAAAAAATTTAAAAGATATATATTTTTAACTTTATTTTTTATTTTTTATTTGGTAAAGAATTTCAATGTGACCCTGAGGCAAAAGTTGTTCACTTTATTTTTCTGCATAACATAGGTTTCTTTTTCAGATTTTTTCGATTTTTTTTTTTTTTTTTTTTTTGCTGGGACCTCCTTTGGCCCTCGCACGGCCGGGCCGCCCGGGCATACAAGGTCACCCGGGCGGCCCGGCTGATAGCCCAGGTACCAAGCTATTACTAGTAAGTTGATAGTCCTATTAACTCGAATTAAAGTACGCCCTTGCATTGAAGTCCACCCGTTTAGGACCCTTGCAGTGATTTCCTATTTCACAGGACAGTCCCGGTCATCTGCTACCGCCCCCCGTTAGGACCCGTTATATTGGGCCGTTTAGGACCCGTTATATTACATTACACTCGGCGGAATTTCTTGGGCGGGATAATCAGTTGTAGGCCAAATTCGAATTTAATACGAGAATTTTATGAGATATATACACTCAGTACCAAAGCCGTCGGCCCTCTACCGTCTTCCCCCGCCCATACGTAACTGAACGATGCAGCGGACTATGACGAGGCGTGTGCGACTAAGACTGTAGCTAGATGATGAATGGTATAAACGAGAGACCAAAGCCGTCGGCCCTCTAACCGTCTTCCCCCGAACATAACGCACCCTGAAAAGGAAAGTATACAAGGTATGTTTCCGGCCAGATACAGTCAGAAAATGAGGGTGTGTTGTGTTCGGGGGAAGACGGTAGCGGTAGTCTCGGTTGCTTGGTCGGAAAGTCTGGTGGGGGGGATCTGGGGGAGGAACCCCCCTGAGGAGTGCCAGGGGCGCAGCCTGGCCTTAAAAAAAAAACACGCTTCGGGGGGAAATTACGGGGGAAAAAACGCGTCGAGGGGAAATTATGAGAACTATACATGCGGAGAGGAAATGCAAATCTGTCGATGCTTGTAGGAGAAACAGTCTATGGCCACTGTTTCACTATTTCACTATTCTCTATTCTCTTATCTCTTTCTCTTTCTCTTTCTCCTCCTCCTCCTCCTCCTCCTCCTCCTCCTCCTCCTCCTCCTCCTCCGCACCACCTCCCTTCTCGTCCTCTTCCTCATGCTCATCCTCCCTCTCACATACGAGATTGCTGAAGTGTGAAGAAACCTGTGCTATTTTGGAGAGGGGAGGGGAGGGGGAGGGGGAGGACA